AAATGGACAACACAAACGCTTTCACCAAGAATCTACTTTGCATTTCTTGTGATTCTTCTTGGTTGTTATTCAATTTATGTTGCATTTATGATTCGCGCGCAGGCATCCACACAAACTCCGACAAAGAATTTCCCGAACAAAAGTGTTTTATCGACGATACTTGCCGTTTCTGGAATAGGTCTCATATTCGTCGGGTTAATTGGCCTGTTTGTCTTCATTATTCGAGGGAAGTTGTTTTTGATTATTTTCATTGTATTCAATTGTTTTGTGGCAATTGGTGTGTTTGGAGTGGTCTCTTATTTGTTAGTAGCAACGGTCAAATTCGACTATCTCGACACTGTCGCAAACAACAATATGATCAGCATTGAGTATGAGGTTTGTTTCTATAACATTGTACTATATTTATAATAAGTTTATAATAATTTAAAATACAGCATTTTACTATTATGATACAAACAAATTTGTGTTAAATCCACACAAGTTTACTTTAAAACAAAGTCTTAATTTAGTAAATGTTTGTGTAATCACTTATTTACTAATAAATAGAACAACTGTTGTGGGTGGAAAACATTAAAAGTCAGTGGGTGTGGTGCAGCGACATCCACACATGAAACGTGTTACAGTCTTATTGGTGTCGCTTATGAGATACCACTGAAGAAAACATTCACCCTTATATTGTTCCATTTCCTTGTTTTAATCTTTTTATTAGTTGAAACATTCGATGAACTCAAGTCAGTCAACACAACAGAAAACAAAGCAACCCTTTACTCAGAGCCTTTTATTACCACAGATGCCTAACTATTTTCATGTTAATTGTGTTTCAAACATCAGTTCGTTGGTTTTGACGTTACATTAAAAACGTCCATTATAAATGTCTATATACCAATACGTCAAACTGATAGGGTTTTTCTTTTTTTTTATTCAATTCCAGAATACGAACTATATAACAATTATAATTTAATTAATAATAAATACTATTTTCGATTATTCAAAAAGGGTAACTTGCAAAGTCCAACACGACACATGACTCAAGGCATCTCCCCACAATACATCGAGCAAATTGTTTCCAATTTGTTGGTTGGAAATAACGAGATTATATCGAAGGCTACTGAAGCAATTATACCTCTCTTGCAAAACCCTGAAATCGTTTCTCCTTTGATGACAATTTTCCTTAATCATCAGCGCATCGATGTTAGACAAATGGCTGGTGTGTTGCTCAGAAAGAAGATATGCCGATTATGGTCACGAGTCAATCCTGATGTTCAGCAACAAATTGAAAACGTTTTGATTCAAATTGTCAACACAGAGACAAATAGAGTGATTGTATTAACAGCATGCCAGATTATTGGTGCGATAGCAAATGTCACTGTGCAAAAAGGAACATGGCAAAATCTCCTTCAAGTTGTATTGCAATGGGCACAGAGCACTTCCGAATTACAAAAGGAAGTGGCTTACTGTTTAATTACTGACATCGCTTCCCTCTATTTGGACAACAACTTAAATTCACAGGTGATGAATGGGTTTTTCCAATTGGTTGGCTCTGCTCTTTCGACAAACACTTCACTCAAAATCCGTATATACGCAATTAAAATATTGGACATCTTACATAACTATATTCAATCACCAAGCGAACTTGCACCTTACGAACAACTGATGCCAATGATTCTCAACACAATTAAAGAAGCGGTACAAAAAGATCAAGAACAAGAATTTTCAGATATCATGGCGATTATGGACGATCTGGTGAAAGGATTTTCAGACATTCCAGAGTTTGACGCAGCCACTCAACGCATAACAACCCCTGTCGCAAATTTGGCTTTAGAAATCACCAAGACAAAAACAGTGTCATCATCAATTCGACAATGCGCGTTGTTCTTCTTAAACTTCTTTGTTACAACACAACTTGCTTACTGCATTTCTAGTGGATTCATCCCAACATTCCTTCAACTTATTTTACAAATTCTTTCTGAGTACAATCCTATGGATCCAAATGATGAAGAGTCTCCACATAGAGTCTTTGCTTCGGAAGTCTTAGAAGTTCTTGCAGAGTTGATCCCTTCACAAGACTTCTTCCCACTCTTTTGGCAGACACTGTTGCCAATGTTACAAGTGAATGATACGGGAGTTGCTTGTTCGGTATTGTTAGCATTGGGTGCTGTGTCTTCTTCATGTTACTCTTCGTTGGATAGCTGTGAAGAGGTGTTAATGCCTTATTTAATCGCTCAATTACAAAACCCCGATAGTACTGTGAGGTCTGCAGACTTAGTATGTCTGGGTAAACTTGGAACGTTTTATGTCAATTTCTTGTTGGACAATCCCGACAAATTTATCCCCCCTTTGTTAAGGTCCACAGTAGACCCCTCCAATGAGATTAAAGCCTCTGCGTTTTTTGACATTCATTTAATACTCGAAAAGGCAGATGTTGAACTCCTGAAACCACTTTCTGCTGATATTCTGACATGTTGTTTAACTTGTGCGACAACTACAACGGAATTTGAAGTCAGAGATGTAGCAGTCTCTGCGTTGTCTTCAATAGTTTACATCTTCAGTGAATTAGTTGTCCCCAATTCAGCGACATTACTTCAAATTGCACAAACAATGATTGCAACAAATGTGACGAATGAAATTGATATTCTCCAGAAGGGAAGAGGTATCGAGTTGTTATCATGCCTCGCAAAGTCGATTGGGAAAGACGCATTCAAGCCTTATTTGAATGGCACACTTACTATCATTAAACAGATGTTAGGCATTGAGCATGCATTTGAGTTTGAAATTCGACAGTATGCGTACATGGCTTTAGTTGACTTGTTTGGAGTATATGGCTCTGAGTTATCGCCACTCATCCCAAGTCTAATGGAGAGGGTGATCAATTCTATTAATTGTGAAGATGATGTTGTTGAAGAGAAGAACAACTTAGAAATCTCATCTGAAGACGAAGATGGTGTAATGGAAAATGACGAAGATGATGATGACCATGTCTCTCTATATGGCGGCGTGTTGATTGAGAAGATTGCATCATTCACATTAGTCGCAAAAATGTTTGAATGTGTACCATTGGAGACTGAGCCATACGCACAACAAATCTTCGATTTGTTGAAAGGACATTGTTCCGATGAAAGAGAGGAAGTGGCTGAAGCTGCCGTAGAAGCGTTATGGTCGGTGTTGTACGTCCCCCTTGCCAAAGAAAGATTATACATTCCACTTGGTGTCAATAATACTACGGAGAATGTGGTTCGTTTGATTAACGAGAAAAGCCCTGCTAAGGTCCATTTGAACTTAGCCCAGTACCCACAAAGTGTTGTATCTGTCTTCAATGAAATTATTAAGACGTATTTGTCTGTGTGTGACATGTCGATAGAGAGGGATGTGGTTGTCATGGCACTCACCAAAATTATAGACATGTTCACTTTATTGGGTCGTGCTGCTGTTATGTCGTGTGCAGACCCACTCTCTAAATTGATATCATCTATCCTTACACAAGGTATTCAATGTCAACAATTAAATACTGGGATGGATGCGAGTGAAATACACGAGACTGAAGTCGATTTGATCACCACAGCAAGTGATGTAATCATGGTCTTGTTTAAAATGTTTGGCGCTTCGATGGTGAATTACTTTATTCAGTTGTTCCCAATTCTACTTGGAATTATTAAGAAGAGAAACAGTTCAGTCACAAAAGCTGCTTGTGTTGGTATTATAGCAGACTTCTATAATTATGTAAAGGTGTGCCCAGACACGTTGGTCGAACCAAGTTTCTCTCTATTCTTAGAGTGTTTCACCAAAAAAGGAAGTGACATCTCCCGTAACGCAGTCTACGGTTTTGGTATGTTGGTGAAAGTAGTCCCACCCTCTATGAGACAAATCGCCATTAATGCTTCTCAACAGGCTCTTCAAATCATAGCGTCTCTTCTCCCAACTTGCAAAAACAAAGCGTTCATTGACAATTACGTCTCATGCGTCTGCAATATATTGAATATGGAAGGGTCACCGTTTTTGCCACAAGCTATCCTTCCACAACTCCTTGCTTTTTTGCCAGTAGTTGGTGATCACGAAGAAGAGATGAATATCTACTCGACATTTGCAAAATTCTACGGAAGTGTTCCAGAGCTTAATGCACAAAAGGGTATGTTGGTTGATGTATTCAGAAGAGCAATAACAGTGAACGGTATATACCCGGCCACTGTGTCTTTCTTGCAACAGCTCACTATGTAATTTCCGTTGATTGGCTATGTATTTTGGGTTTTCAAATATAACTAGATATACTATAAATATATTATATATATTTTATTCAAAGAAGTAATATATTTTAATAAAAAAGGAAATAGTATAATAATTAATAAGATTAGTATAATACAATGTAGTTATAAAATATTATTTTCAAAAAGAAAAAATTGGTCTCATACGAGAAAAACAAAGGTTTTTTGGGTTTGAAAAGAACTCTTTTAACTTAGCTTGAAAATGTCTGGGTCTGTCCACAAACAGACTCCGAAAACTCGCAACACTCGGCAACAACAAACACACGGCCTCGAACGCCCAAAGCCACTTAAAATGATAGAGAAGGACAAGTTGGAAGAGGGCTCTTCCCCAACAACCCCAATCGACTCGTCTACTCCTGTCAACGTTGGTTCTGACGTGCAACGGTCTGGAAGTATTAAAAAGGGTTTAAAGACGACAGTGATGAAAAAGTCACAAGTCACACAAAAGTCGCCCAACCCAATTCAGCCAAAGGAAGTCGTTGAAAAACCTGAACGTACTGAACAAGGAGTTAAACCCGAAATCACTGAAAGCTTACAAGAAAACATAGAAGACGACTGGCAAGACTCCAAAACAGGAAAATCGGGAAAACATAACCAAAAACGGAAGAACAAAAAGACTCAGAAAAGAAGCAAGATATCTAAAGAACATGATACTGTTCTGGATGAGTCTCCAGTCGATGTTAGTGCAGTTGACACTACACCCATTTCAAATACCTCAGACTCAAAACAAAATGAAGAGAAAGAATCAATTGAAACGGATGAAACCGTCAAAACCCAAGAAACAGTCGAAAAGGTACCTATGGAAGAACCAAATAATGAGAAGGAAACGCTTAACAACGAAGTTCAAGAATCACAAATTCCCCCACAAGTCGATGAATGGCAGTCGACAAAAAGTTCGAAGAAGAAAGCAAAGAAGAGTTCAACCCCGGCAAAAACAAAGACACACAAAAAACACAAGAAAAGTGCAACAACGTCTGTCACCGAGTCGAGTGAATCACACGACGAAGAAGTTCAAACACCAGTTCAACCACAACTGATCCCTCCACAACCCACTCAAGAGCCTCTTGAGGTCGCCGAAACAACTGATACACAACAAGAAAAGGATGAAGACGAAACACAAGTGGGATGTATATTGCCAATGACGACGAAATCAGTCACGCCACATCCACTCCATATGCGGTATGGTATTGAAGAGATGAAAGGGTTACAAATACCAAATTTACAAATCAAAAATGCGATGGTTGGGGTCTTTGAACGTTTTGCGCGAAAAGAAGAGGACCAATGTAAGAAAAATAAGAACTTTTTCATCGACCGTAAGACGGCTATTTATCGCCAAGCGTTCAACCAACTTACCGACAAGACTTTAGTTACCGTTGCAGACATGATGGTTCTACAAATTAGAACTCGCGAAGACTTAGAAACGATGTTGTCGATATTGTTTAATAATGCTATTAATGAGAGGAAGTATGTCAAACTGTATGTCCAGTTCTTTATATACATTCGTAGTTTGATGCAGAGAGACCCACAAAAGGTTGCATTCTCGAGTGACATGATTGTTATTCTCCTCGACAAGGCAGAACACCAATTTAATAACCCGCCCGTGCCACAACTTGAAGTCCAAGGAGAAACACCGGAACAAAGAGTCCAACGAGAGGAGAAGAACAACAATGAGGTCTTTGAATATTTGGGCACAGTATATCTTGTGAGTTATTTATATACTGAGAAGACTGTTATTCCCGATCTGGTGTTACAGTGCTTTGATGTTCTCAGTAAAGTGAAAGGAACACTTCCGATAAAAGCGTTTAAAACAATGGTCAACGAAACACACGACCAATTGGTGAAGGACGGAGTTGGACTTGAAAAGGTCAAAAATCTTATTAAAGAAATGCTGAAGCGGGAGGGTTTGACATTCATGGAGAAAGTGCTATTGGACACATCACTCGAGGTGATTGAAGGCAAACCCTTGGCGAAGATTGAAAGTCCACATGTGAATGTTGTCAATGTAGTCGACCAGATTAAGAAAGGGGAAATCACGAGTGCTAAATTTATTGAGGAAGTAGCTAAGAAGAGTGCGAGTGATATTGGATTGATAATAGAAGGTGTCATGGACGTGATGGATAATGGATATTCCGAAGACTTGGAGAAGGTACTACTGAGCGCCGACTTCATCAAAAAAATTGGAAAGTCGTGGAACGATGTCATTAACACGATGAAAGCATTCCAAATGAAAGAACGTGGGGGGCTCGAGTTATTTGGGAAATTGTTGGGGTGTTTGTTTATTAAAAAATACATTGACTTATCCGTCATAATCGACAAAGCTTTGCAGACGAAAGAAGAAGCCATTTCTATTGTAGGCAAGGTAAAGAGTCCACTCTTTTTATTAGTCATTGCGTTGAATCAAATATTGAGCTCTGTATCTCCAAGAACTGTATTAAATTTGCTTGGAAAAAACTCTAAAAATCTCAACCATTTGGTGAGCAAAAATGAAGATATAGTTGAGGTGGTCTATCACTCTGCATTAGTCATTGCAAGTGGATCTGAAGACGAAGTTGTCGAAGGTAACGAAGAGAAAACAATGAAAATTGGGGAGTTATTCATTAGCATAACACATCCTGATATTGTAAGTCGTGTATTAAACAGGGTTTGGGTGAATTGCAAAGAAAAGAAGACTCTTGAAGTTAAGAAGAGCATACAGTTAATGAATAAAAAAAAGTGAATTGAGTTTACAATTAATAAGTTCGTAGTATATATTTATATATAATTAAAAATAAATATCCAACTTATTCTATTTATAATAAACAGTATTTTTTTCTTACGACTCTTGTTCTAATAAGAGTATTCTCCAAATATTTTAATTGGAAAATTGTCAAGTATGGATACCCCGGAAATGTCCGGATAAAATGTGCCATATATAATTGTTCAAACTTCAAAGACCTTCTTGAAAAAAGGAAACCCTTTTTCATTTGCAAAGAAAATACAAAAGAACTCGAAAAGTTTCAGGGAAGATGGACGAAATCCATTTGCTCGACGAGAAGTGGCAGGTGTCGACAGAGTCAAATACATCAAGTAGTTCGACAGTGAGTGTGGGCGAGCTTTTAGTTACAATAACTAGTGTCGAAGACTTTTGGGGATGTTATGAAGCCATGGGAGACTTCACTGAGATGAAGACGGGGACGGATTTATACTTCTTAAAAGGAGAGAGCAAAATTGCGGACAACTACAGAAAAATCGTGTTCCAATTTCCAACGTCCAACAAAGAGGTGTTTAACAACGCGTGGCTCAACATCGTTTGTTAGTATTAAAATGGTTTAGTAATAATAAAAAAACATCAATTAATAGTAACAAATAGCTACTTGCCTGCCTTGGAGAGTCAATGACATACACCGAGCAAATTCGTGGTGTTTTGTTCTCTTGCAGAGCAGACTACAAGGTCACCATTTTCCTATCGAGAAGTTGTGAAGAGGAGGTCATGAAAAAACTTATCGAGCAAATCAGAAGCTATAACCTTTTGACTAACGATGTCAAAATTAAATATACTAACATCAACAAAGGCGGTTTCTTAGACAGCAAATAAATGAGTGTGCAATCTGTTTTTTTGTATACAAAACGGTCATCTCAAAACACATCTCATTATTTATACAAACCTCCAAATTTTTTGCATTTCAAATGTTTTGTCTCAACTGACCTTATTGGACAAATTCTATAATTATGGTTATGTTTACTTTAAAGTGTTATTATTATTGAAATTGTCACGATAGCGGTATATATTTCAATCACTATTGTCATTCACTTCTATTATTATTCCGATATAAATATGGTTAATATGATAGTTTGTTTATTATTTGGAAATAAGATAGTAAACTCAAACTATAAAGCCAGAGACTCAAAAACGAAAGAGATTAGCAATAGAACACTCACGTCATCTTGACATTGAAAAGTGAAGTCTTTAACTTCAAAATGATCGAAATGTCTGTGTTGAGAGAAGCAAGTCTTCTTCAGTCATTTTCGAATCAAGTGAGTATTCACACATACGACACATGTCCGTCGTTACTGAAACACCCCTTCAAAGTGTTAGCGTACATATGTGTAACACAATTTACATTGGGCCTTTTGTCACCATTTTTGATGTGTATGTTTTCTGTTCTTGTCATGTTGGTGTTCTTTTTCAGACACCATCTGTCGAGGTTTTACTTCTTGGTGCCGACAATTCCAAACACCGATATGTCTTCAAAAATTATGAGTGTTGACCCACCAAAGACTAAAATCACTGTTATACTACATAATGATATCGACGCTAATGACAACACAAAGTACTTCATCTGCAGTTTGTCGGCTCAATGTGTGTTTCTTGTTCTGTCCATTATTCAGTGGGTCTGCTACACCATGTGTTTTGTTGCGGGGCACTATATATCGTTTTATGTGATCAGTGCAATTTACTGTGTATTGGGAATTGTTGCGGGAGTGTTGCATAGTAAGTTCAGGAAGTTAGAGTTTGGAAAGCCGCAAAGTCTTGAACTTATCGAGGAGTTGAAAAGTGAATTAAAAGGCATCGAGCTGATCACCACAGAGGTTAATCTCTTCGTGACAAACTGCTATTACACACACGAGTTTTTCAGTTACTTCTTAGAAAATGTTACAATTGGGGAAGGGAAATACTTCATCGTGGTGGACTCTGTGGGAGAAGTTTTGAATTTGGCGGAGTCTTCTCGCAGATTTAAAACGAACAAAGAGATGAATGATGTTATACTAGATGCTGGGGAAACAGAGGGAGTGCCTATATTCCGTCAGTCTACACAATCACCTGCAGCGTCATTGTTATTCAACAACTATAAAACGTCTATCATCTCTTCAAGAGATCAAAGTTCGTGTTGTTCTGAGCCACAAAGTGCTGTGAAGTGTGTCGCGCATGTGATAAAAAGAGTCATCAAGCAGGTGGACAGTATCGGGATGAATTGAAATGTATTTATGCTTTGATTGCTTATAATAAATAGAGCTATTAATAATGAAATTTGTTTTCTTGATTTCAATAATACCTAATGTATAATACTATTATATTACATTTTAGTAATACACAATATAATATAATAATTTAATTATTATATAATAGTATATTAATAAATACTAAAATATTTAATTTTTTTGGTATTTTTTTTTAATAATTACAAGAAAAGTTTTATTAATGACTTTTTTGAATTACTTGAAAAAATACTTTAAAAATGCCAAAATAATCGGGAAACTGAAACAAATAACAAAACCACTGAAAAGAGGAAGAAAAAAGTTTTACTAAAAATGTCACCTTTTTAAATGACCCGAAAAGACGAGACTCAGTAGAGTAAAATTTAAATAAAATACAAAAGAATGTAAATAAGTTTGAATGAACAAATCTCTTTTTTTGAGAGGAATCTTAGAGGAACACGTTATGACTTTTTTTGGTGCATAAAATGTGAACTGTGAAATTCAAAGAAATCGAATGGAAGCCATCCAATACAACATAAAGAAACGAACATCACCATCGAAGAAGTGTGGTATAGTTGGGTACATTGGACAAGACGCATGTGCTCATTATTTATATGAAGGTTTGATGATTCTTCAAAACAGAGGATATGATTCAGCAGGAATTGCGTCAATTGACAAAATGAAGCACCTCACTGTCACAAAGTACGCGTCTGTCGGAAGCACCAGTGACTCCCTCAAGATACTTGAAGGACACCTAGCGGAGCACGGTACTAACACATGTGGTATTGCACACACTCGTTGGGCAACACATGGTGGTAAAACAGACACAAATGCACACCCACATGTCGATCAAAAGAGGAGAATTGCATTAGTGCACAACGGTGTCATTCAGAATTACAGCGAAATCAAAGCCGAGTTGATAGCAAAGGGAATTAAATTTGTTTCTGAGACAGACACCGAGGTGATAGTCCAACTCATTGGATCGTTTTTGGATGAAGGAGAAACGGTCATTGGAGCTATGAAAAAAGCCGAACAAAAGATGGTGGGTACTTGGGGAGTTGTATTGATATCTGTCGACAATCCGTCGTGTATCTATGCCATGAAAAACGGTTCTCCGCTTCTCATTGGTGTCGCAGAGAAAAGCCGTTTTGTCGCTTCTGAACCGGCGGCATTTGCTCGGTACACTCGGGAATTCATTTCAATGAAAGACATGGAAATCGCAGTGATCGACGTTTCAAAGCCAATCGATTTGTCAAGAGTCGAAATACATCCAGAAGACAACATCGCGCTTTCGCCAGCACCGTTCCCTCATTGGTGCATCAAAGAAATAACTGAACAACCAATTGCAGCTTCTGCGGCCATGAATTATGGTGGGCGATTTGTGAGTATGAAAGAAGTGAAGTTGGGTGGGTTAGAGAGTAAGGTCGACGAGTTACTTCCAATCAAGAATTTGGTGATTTCGGGATGTGGTACGAGTTTGTATGCGAGTATGTTTGGTGCAGCTGTCATGCGCAAGTTGCGCGCATTCACCACAGTGCAAGTGATCGATAGTGCCGAGTTGACAATTGACTGTTTGCCGGATGATGGGGGGTTGTTAGTTGTGAGTCAGTCTGGTGAGACAAAGGACGTACACAGAGCCGTCCAGTTGGCACAGTCTGTTGACATCCCAACGTTCTCTGTTATTAATGCTGTTGGTTCGCTCATTGCTCGAACGACGATGTGTGGTGTCTATGTGAACGCTGGTCGCGAAAACTCAGTAGCTTCAACAAAGTCGTTTTCATCGCAAGTCATTTGTTTGTGCCTAATCGCTGTTTGGTTCTCACAACATCGGAAGGCATCCTCAGTAAGAGAAGCACTGATTACAAGTCTCCAGAGGATCCCAACGTGTATGGGGATGGCGCTTTCAACTCGCGCAAAGTTGCAGAAAATTGCGAAAAGAATGATTCTTTCTGACGTGAAATCGATGTTCATTTTGGGAAAAGGGTTAGCAGAAAGTGTCGCGAAGGAAGGTGCCTTGAAGATTAAGGAGATCAGCTACATACACTCAGAGGGATACTCTGGAGGAGCTTTGAAACATGGGCCATTTGCTTTGATAGAAAAAGACCTTCCTGTGGTTTTAATAATTCTCGACGATGAAAACGCGGGGTTGATGAAAGTCGCCGCGGAAGAGATCAAGGCAAGAGGTGCATATTTGGTTGTTATAACCGATCGAGAGGACTTGGGCAAAGTTGCTGATGAAACCATTGTCATTTGTAATGCTGGAATACTTACTGCGCTTGTGGCTGTTGTGCCACTCCAGATCCTTGCTTATGAGCTTTCTGTGGCTAAAGGAATTAACCCAGACAAGCCCAGAAACTTGGCTAAGGCTGTGACCGTGGATTAATTGGTTTTTAGATGTTTTCTTTCTGATGATACTGTATTAACATTTATAGTATAAAATACTATTATTTTTTTGTGATAATTCATTTTTGTTTTTTACCTTTCAATAATTTATTGTATCATTTAAATCTAATAACTATAGATTGTTTATTTTATTAATAAATAATAGTATTTAATGTTTTTAATTCTTTCAAATGTGAATAGAAAAATAAACTATAAATAATTCAATTATTGATAATTTGTAAATAATTTCAAGCCATGAAAGTAATCAACGAAAGTGTCACAACCATCCACAAAGAGAGAGTTATAGTCGAAAACAAATAGGCCCAGAAAAGTAAAGAAGAACATTCAGAATTTCCTTTTGGGTAGACAATATTCATAACAATGGTACTGTTGAGTGCAGGCGGGGTCATAGATTCCACACAAACAACAAAGAAGAAGAGTGGGTCTGATGGTATCATTTTAAAGTACCACATCCCAAAATTGATTCCAATACACAGAGCTGGCACAATAACCATTCTCACAAAAAGACCGATGACAATCACATACCACTTGATATTCCCTGCTTTTGGCCCAGAAGACAAATTTCCTCCAAGGACAAACAGAGCACAGACCACAGCTGCACCTCCAAGATATTTGATTGACCTCCCAACTATAGAAATGGGTCCATTAACAAAGATAAAATCTCTAACTGGATAGAGCACAACCAACACAATCCCAAAGAGTGTTGCAAGTGTGGGAGGCGTGCACAAGTTATTGATTCCACGTCGGACTACTAAAGGAACTTTGTCAGTGTACATCTTTGATATCCAAAGGAAAGGAATTGTAACAAATTTTAAAACCTTTTTTAAGTTGTTAATACTAATCATCTTTTCTTTCTCGTTCAAGTCTTTTGTGGGTTGCGTACTTATTGATGAGTTTGGTGTTGGTTTCTCGTTGACAACACACACATTTTTTGTTGGTAATTTCATTTCTTTTTGCTCGTCCTTTTGTGAAATTAAAGGTTCTTCTTCAACTCTCTTTTGGTCGACATCGTCCTCACTTGAAATGTCAAAGCTTGTTGTTGAATTTGCTGAATTTGAAATGTTTGTGGTTACAAGTAAAGGAGTTGGGTCTCCACTAATAACAATTCTAGTCATTTCACTCTTCATTTCTACACCTTTCTCATCTGTTTTCATTGAATCCAATACATTCTCATCATCACTTTGGTTTTTTTGAATGTATGAATACCCAAATACCCAATAAATAAGAGTGGACATCAAAATGAATGTGCAGATGTAAGCACCTCCCCTTTCATTGGCATTTTCTCCAAAAATCGATGATTCTGAAGTCATACTATCAACTAGAGCAAGAGGTATGTACATCATGTTTCCAAACGCAACTGAGTAGACAAAAACCCTTCTCACATTTTGTTCAAGTCTGAATATACGAGAGATAGCATAAGTACAGGAAAAGTTAATAACATTGATCATAATTGCACAGAGTGGAAGATACCACCAATCTATTAATGTATTAATTCTGTCGACACTTGTTGCAGTTTGACTCAAAACGAGTGCGGGTATTAAGAACTGGAAGATTACCGTTGAAAAGACTTTCCTTGCATCAGAAGAAAACCCTGCTGTTCTGGTTGCTATATACCCAGCAAAGACAACAAAAGCTAATTTGAATATCTTTCAGTGAGAACAGTCGCGAACGACAAATAGAACAAACTGAATTGAATGTGGAAACGAATATGCTTAATAACTCCATCCGGATGTACTAATTGAGAGTTCCCCTCTTTATATAATCAAAAATATTTATTACTTTATCAAGACTTTTTAATTTGTACATTTCCACCATTTCCACTCACCAAATTAAATTTCTTCTTGTTTTTTATCAATTGTCCAATTCAAAATTAATTACTTACTACAAACGTAATCTTGTGGAAGGTAAACAAACTCAAAAAATGGCTTTGAGTTTGTTTCGTTTTGAGAAAACTCAAATCAACAAAGAAAAAAACTAAACTTTGGATTTTGGTTGAATAGTGAAATTGATAATTTCATATTGATGGTATTTTTTGTATTTTGTTTACAATAAAAAAACAATAAAAACAATAAAAATATTTACTTCAGTTACAAATAAATAAACGGGAGAAACTCGAAAAAAATAGTTTAGGTGAATAAGTGTAAACAAAAAATAAATAATAATTTGTACTTTATATAAATTTTGTGTTTTACAAAAATCTATAGAGAAATACAAATAAATAGCTTAATTACTGTTTTCTTAAACTTTAATTATCAAATTTAAATAATTATTAAAAATAATTTATGCTTTTAATTATTTGTTTAGATATTATATCTGTAATTGTCATTTTTTTGGAAAGACAGATAAATACTCAACTCACCAAAAAAGTTTGCGCGTTTTGGTTTAATTTGATAATGACAAGTAAATTTTGAAGAAAACAAAACAACTTTTTTTTTGTTTTACTAATTCCTTGATAATTCAATTATATTGTTGGCTAATAAAAGTAACAAAAATAATAATTATTGGACTGTGAATTTGAGGTATTTCAATTGATACCTTTGGAATTATCTCTTTTGAGAAGATAAGTTGTGACATATTCAAAAAACTTTGAGTGTTGAAAGACGAAAAGACTTTATTTTTGTAATTTGTTGCTTCTTTCTTTGTTTTTAAACCTGCCATTTTATTTTTAGATATTTAATCTGTTTATTTGTTTAAGATGTTGAAATATTCATTTTGACACAATAATATTATTTTGTCTTAATTAATCGTTATACAAAATTATCATAACACATAATTTATTTACATTCAATCATTAACTCAATTCATATATTGATTAATTATTTTGAAATTATCACAAACATGAGAAACTTAATCTTGTATATCGTTCGTGAAACTTGTATATAACATTACTAAACTTATAAATTGCATGATAATGACTACTATTTAGTTTGTTACATCATTTATACAATTACTTTATTAAAGGATATGATTCAAACAATTTTATTTCTTAACTAAGATATATTAATTATCCGATCTCATTAAAGTAATACATCAAAAAAATAAATTTGATTATAACAATTATATTACAAATTAAAAAATTCGTTCTTTTTCTTACAAATCTCATAAAATCTAATTTTTAAACAAAATAATTAAGATGTGTTCATAATTATGACTAAAAAATAAAAGAAAACGACCAGAAAACATAGTTTTATATGTTTAACACATGAAAACTTTTTCAAATAACTGTTTTCTAAGCTTTTTACCAAACAACATATAATAAAATGTATTATATTCTAATACATCAAATAATATTGAAAAAAACATTGTAGTGGTTTTCTTTGATGAAAACAAGACTTAAAAAAAATTAAAAAAACATTTAACTGTATTCTATGGTTATATATTATTAATTTTAGTTAAATTGGCTTTATTGAGTAAGATAATCAAGTAAATAAAAGTAAGTAAACTAACATTTAGTTATTTCATAATTAAAATTGAAATTGGTTGTTTTTTAATAATTAACACAAAACATTTTATAACCAATTTCAACTGTTTCAAAACACTTCACAGTTAAGCATTTTACACATTCACAGTCGAATAATTGAAAATAAGACTGATTTTTTTCAAAAAAAGCTAGCATATAATTTAAAACGGCAAATCACTTCTTCATATTAAAGCACAAATAATATGAATCATACCAACCAATCAATAAGCACGTTTAAAAAACTTATTGACAACAATTCTTTTTTTTCTTGGAACTTAAAAAAACTTACCCACCTTCATGTTAAAAAACCTCACGTGTAAGCAAGAAAAGCTAACAGTAACACTCACGGTTCTTGGAATTGAAGTGGGGCCTAAGGCAGACACATCTAAACAAACAATTTTACATGTGACACGAAATGATGTCGACAGGAAAACTGCAATCGAAGTGAATAAACCAATGAGTTATTCAGTATCTTTTACTGGGACATTTTTTGTGTCGAAAGACTCCGTCAAAGAAAAAGACCTGACACTGACACTCTTTCTCAAATCCGACCCCAAAGTTTGTGGGTCAGCTGTTGTTAACGTTTCTGAATATGTGAATCAACTTGAGGTGGCCCAGAACTTTTCCAGACGAATTTTGTTCTTTGGGGCGATGTACACTTTAAAGTTACAAATCACCATTGCGCCACTTGGTGGTGCTTCACTTTCAGCTTTGTCTCAAAACACAACACAACCAAGATGTCCATCTATCAGAAATAGTTCCCCTCGTACTCCCTTGAAAATTGAATTGCGGCAAACTCGTTCTTCAAGTACACTAACCACTTCAACTGTTTCAAGAGACGAAGGTATGGTACGTGGACTTTTATCTCCACGATTCAAAAATTTGGAATTGTCAGAGTCCCTCAGTGATCCACAAACAAGTCCACATAATACGCCTGGGCCAAGAACACCACGTGGTATATCTACTCACAACTCATCATCTTCAATGGCTCGAGTCATCAGAACAAACAAAACACCAGGACTGGAAGACTATATGAATAGACAAGTATCACCAGTCAATGAACACGTAACAACTTTTTTGAAAGATTTGGACAGTTTTGATAATATTATGATTTTGGACGAAAATTGGAAAACATCGAAAACGCCGTTACTTTTTCAAATAGTGTGGACAACAATTAAAAGCAACAAACTACTCGACAACAATTTTAACATATTAACAAAGGCGCTCCTGCAGTTGTCTCATAAATGTAAAGACGACTTTTTACCACCAAAAACACTCGGGTATTTGTGTTCTACATTGTGTTGGGTCGGATCGTTTTTGGTCCAGTCGCTCGAGAACGAACGAAATGAAAAGGCGCAAAGTGCACTTGAAACAACTAAGAGTGGGATAGTTGAGTGCTTTGTTGTGATGTTTGACAGATTTTCAAAAACCGTTCAAAATGAAACAAAAAAATGGTTGACTCAACAAGAGAACGCTGAAATACTTGTAAATGTCACAGAAAAGCTCATTGTCACGACTGAATTATGCTACTTCCCACGTGATATATTTGAAGAGATATTGGGTGAAATAGAAAAAATCCTCAACACGGAGATTGTCAATGTTATTGTAGATGGCGAAGAAACCACTGAGGAGACTGGTTTATACTGTCAGTTAGCTATTGGGCAAATGCAAGAGAAATTCTACAAACGAAAATTTAATGCAGACTTTGTGTTGATCAAAGAACTGAGTTCTATTTTGATGTTACAAAATAAAGACGTTTTAGGGCAACCAGGGGCGAATGAGATTTGTCCACACTTTTCCAACGAGTTGTTGTATAAAATCCTTTTGAATTTGCAGAAGAAACAAAAGGGTGACAAAATCAAGGCGGAGTTACTCAACAAATTACAACGTGAAAGGGGATACATGACTTTTTATAATAACATTTTCATTCTCACCAAAAAAGAGAAGCTTGGGAATGTACTTACAATTTCACAGAAAGAGTCCGAGGTGTTGTTACCATTATCTGAAATTGAACTACGGTTCAAAGAAAGAAAGTATCTCGAGGAAAATGTATTTAACTAATTCGTGTATTTTATTAGTATCTGAGAGAAAGTAAACCATATTCAATTAATAACTTACTATTCATTTCACTTCCATTTTGAACGATTAGACTTCGAACGTAAATAAAAATTGCTTAATCTAATTTTGAACGTTTGATCTTCTTAATGCACTTGATCAACGAAGGTAATATCAGGAAGATCATCACAATCAAAAGAGGGAGCAAACACAAAACAGATACAACGGACATGATCATTGGGTCCATCTGACAGACATCCTCTAAAGTGCCTTTACACGAAGTGGTGTTTGGATTGTAACAATAGGAGTCAAAATAGTTCGGCATAGTGCACCATGAACATCCTCTTCTTATGTCTTTGTAGTCTTTGACATAGCGCACGCACTCTCTACAATTGTTCGTGAACTCTGTGCAATTGACTTCCTCAAAAAGTGGGTCGTAAGACCGCACTGTTCCAATAAGTACTAAAACAAGAACTACTCTGTACATCTTTAAAAGTTTTTTACTTTTGCTTTTAGGGTTTCAGTTTTTTTCTGAAGACTTAGGAGGAGCATTTTACTTCATTTTTGGTCCAAAATGCGAAGGAATATCTCTCTTTCTTTATAGGATTATATATCGAAAAAAGGTTTAATTGTTTTTATAGTAAAAAGCGGGATAATACTGGTTTTGTTCATTTTTAAAACAAGAGAAAATTGAACCAAATGAATTGAATTGGGAAGGAAATTCCCATAAAACTGCAAACTGAAGCCAGAAACCTTAATAAGATCCATTGAATTTTTTTGATAAAAAACAAAGAAGGAGAACAAAGAAAGAAAATGTCCCGGCTCGACGGAGTACTGACTGCAAAAGAGTTTTTAAAGAACCAGACGCTCGTCCAAGACTTCTTTTATACCAAGGATATACAACTATGGTTTGTTCATTGTACTATATATACTGAGGAGTGGTAATAGTTACAATTAGGGTCTTAAACCACACTTTTGAGTTGTGTGAGGAACTTGTTTTAGGGAACAACAACGCGAAAATGATTCTTACATCGAACATGACTGTTGTGTTACAGGGTCTCAATAAAGACAAAAGGATATTCCCCTTTTTCATTGAAAACTTACAGACAACAGATCACGGTGAGTTGATTGAAACGATTGGGAAATTGCTTGGGAATATGCTCAAGTATTATACCAACATTGTTTGTTTTCATCTTTTTTGTTTGAGGGTTTCTATATTGCTTGAACTTTTTGTTGGTCAAGATATAGACTATAGCGCATTTACCCAAATTAACTCAAAGAACATTGAAAACATCGACGAGATTCAAAAACACGTGAAAGTGCTTGTGCACAATATCAACTCATACCCTATTTGCGACTATATTATTTCATTACTAACACACGACACATACCAAAAATGTGAAACATTGAAGCTGTTGTGCAAAGAGGGTGTCGTCCATTTTTTGTTTGAAGAGTATATCAACCACAAATCGTATGGAGTGACGCGGATAATTAAAGAAATTGTGTTGTGGAAGCACATGTATAATGTAGGCATAGTTGGTGAAGTCTTTGTAGACAACTGTAATACGGAACCGTTACTTCCACAACTCTACTCTTCCATTTTTGAGACACAAGATGTCGACGGAATTGAAACGGTTGGATATCTCCTCACATTAAGTCCAAGCAATGACGAGTTATGTAAAATACCAATCGACGGACTTCCTTCTATATATCGTCTTCTACTTCCTTTTTATGGAGTTTGTTATTAATATCATTTCTAAATAAATTTAATTAATAATTTGTTAAAAATAATAATATCATAATAATTAAATTTAACAAGTAACAAATAGAAAATCAGTGAATGGCTTACTTTGCCACAAACAACGGAACCCACTGTTGTGTTGGGTAATGCGCGAATACAAACAGTGTATTTAGTCCTTTCTCTTGTTGTTTCCAATTACTACGAAGTTTTTGCGTCGATCATCAAACACAAGATCCTGCGAAAAGTTTTTGTTTGTTTCTACTTCACATAGATATACCGTTTTCAGTACTTTGCTCATGTGTAGGATATTTTCTTTGACAAACGACACAACTGCACTATTGTCAGACAAATGGTTGTCGACATCGCAATCATTATATTGCAACAACAGAGTTCCCCTCTTCGAAACGAGTTGTTTGAATATGGAATTTTAGAGAAGTGTATAGACATAGATAAATATGCTGTTCAATATCGGTTTGTCTTCTCTTTATTGATTCTAATATAATATTTAAAGTAAGGGCAAAGCACAACATGTACCCTGACATCTTCGGGTTGAATCAAAACATCATCAAATCACTCTACTCACAAGACGACTTAGAAGACGACGAGTTTATAAACTATGTGGAAACGGTCATAGCAGATAGAAACTCAACACCAACTGTGTATTTGTCTGATAGTGTACAGACGTATGAGGTGACCAGTGACTGGAATGACGGACTGCCTATTATTGATTATGGTATGTGATTGGTTGTTTCTCTTTTGAACCAAATGCATTGAAGACTTCAACAACACAAAGCACTAAAAAATTGTGAATTATGACCCATTTTGCTCAAGCTCTCTCTGGGTGATGGCATTCTCCGCTCTGACCAAATCCAAGTTGTACTTCGTTACGATTAATTGGTTGACTGTTTTGTAAAACCCAGCCATGTCGGTTGCAAGCTGCAACTCAAAATTCTTTTGTTTGATGCTCATCGTCTCGAGTAACACTTTACTTCGCTTCACGGCCGTCCTCAACATCTCGACTTCCCGATTTTGTAACTCATTCAAGTGGTGGTTGATCTCTTCAATCTTCTTCTCAACACGACCCGCTCTCTCAACAGCAAGGAAGTACTCCTTTGATGCAACTAACTTACCAGAATCCTCTTCGCTCTCCACAATAGATTTCTTGGCTATCATCTTTTGTTCTAACTGTTCAAGCCTCTTCATCGCGCGTTCCTTTTGCATCTTGAGCTCAATGCGCTCGACTCTAAACTCTTGTTGTCTATTCTTCTGATAGCCTAAAAGCCTCTTTTCGATAACTTTCACCTTCACAAATATGCTCTTCTTCTCCGATTCAATAAATCGCAACCGTTTCTTCAGTTTGTCTGTTGGAGCACGACGAAGAGCACTTTGGATTCTCAATATTCTGCTCGAGACGCGTTTCAACTTCGCAACCAACTTCTCCAATTTGTCAAACGCGGCCTTCTCGCCCTCCTTCCGCTTATTTCTGTAAAACTCCTTTTCCTTTGCGCTGTATTTGTTCAACGCAAGATCCTTCTTAGCTCTCACCTCTTCAATTTGTCTTCTGAGCTCGACAATTTTCTCTTTCTCTTCGATTATTTGCGCTTTCTTTTCTTTAATTGCCTCCTTCGCAACTTTCTTTGCTTTGGCTTCTTTCAATTTGGTTTTGAGCTTCTTGACTTGGTACTTTCTGTTCTTCAAGTCGTTGACCAATTTATTCTTATCGGCGTTGAATTGCGCTATTTTGAGAGTAAGGTCTTCTTTCATTCCAACAAGTTCTGTTGGCGTCACAAACACTTCCTTTTCTCTGTCGATCGCGTCGTTCACACACTCGGTCAAGAACACAATTTTGTCATTAAACCTCTCCAGCATCGACTCGAGTGACGCGACGTGTTCTTTTGTTGCTGTTTTGATTTGTTCCTTTAATACAGTGATTTTGTTCTCGATGATACTCTTCTGTTGCGAAAATCGTTTCTTGTCACTCGCAAGTTGATTTGCTTCTTTCAACAACTTTTTCTTCTGCGCCAACAATCTTTCAAATCGCGACTTTTCCTTCCTGATCATGTCTTCGCACCGAATGACCTTCTCTTTAATTTTGAATATTTTGGTCATGACTCGTTTTTGAGTGCGTTTCATACCTCTTAATACCTTTTGTGCTCCAAGGAGTTTCTTGCTCAAGTTGTTTGAGATGGTCTCGTATGAGATCTTTTTAGCTCGGAGCTGCTCGACTATCGTTGCGTCAATTTTCTTGTCTTCCTGTGTTTTCGCGTCACTCAGTCGTGCCTTCAATTTTTTTATTTGGCCTCTGATCTGTTCCAAGTTCGTGCGCGATTTCAAAACCTCCTTCTCGATAACGTGCAGCTCAACAACTTTCTCCTTCATGTCATCAATCACTTTAGACATCTCTTCTTTAGTAGAGTTCAGCTTCGCGTTGCTGTTTGTGATCCGTTGCTGAAGCGCAGCAACCTTCTTCCCGTGTGTTGATTTGATCTCAGTCATGCTCTCCGTCAAACTTTTGATATACACATGATATTGGTTGTCGATCGACTGATTTGGGTCGATTCCATGTGCTACAACCAAGATCGCTACTACTAGCAGTAACTTCATATTATAAATTATAGAAATTTATCAGTTTCTTTTTTTTATTCTTTGATTTTTGTTCGGTCTCTTTTTTTTAATAGTTTATTAATTATTTTTACTATATCCGTAATTTCCAAAAAATGCATTTTGTAGTGTATTGTAAACAGAAATAATGCACTTTTGTCCATTTGTTGATATAAATAAAAAAACTGATACAATAGTTCTATTTATAGTAATATTATAGAATTTGTTTTATAGAGTAAATACCATATCAATCACTTCTTCCCAAACTTTTTGAAGTTTGTTTGAACAGCAATTTCCTCTTCTTGGTCATTTGCAGGCTGTTCCTTTTGGTTGTCGACCTTTTCCAACTTTTCGGTTTCTTGCTGAACCTCTTTTTGTAACTCTTCGACATCCTTTTTGTCAAGTTCATCCCTTTTCAGTTCTTTAAGTTCTTCTTCCTTTTTGTGCTCAACTTCCTTCACTACTTCTTCTGTTGGAATAACTTCTTCCATCTTTGTGTCACCACAACACCCTTCCTTTTCATTTTCAGTATTTTCAACATCATTGTCTTCGTCTTTACACTTCGATTTGCTCGCACATCCAGTGCACCCACAGTTCGCACATCTCACATAATTGTCGTTGTCTCTTTCGTCTTCTGGGACTCTACAAATGCAGACGCTGTTGCTCCCCTGTTTTGGTCTTAAGCACTTCAAACAACATAAATGCCCAAACCCGGGTTTCTTCCATTTAGCAATGAGCATCCCATCGATGATATCATTCTTAACACAATAATCGTAGAGCTCTTTACTGATCTCTTGTTGTGTGTATTGCTCATATACAAATTTGCTTCTTTCGTAGTTGTTCTTGATGACATCCCACGTCGTCTCATTCCGTCTTCTTCCATACATTGGGTCATTCTGTGCAACTCTCAACTGTTCTTCAAATTCAGTGATTTTCGGTATCAATTTTTCCTTCCCAGCAGGTCCCTTTTTCAGTTTGAAGAGGCGCGACATCTTGACTACGTCAAATAATTTTTCTTGTTTCTTCTTTTTCACAAATCAAAAAAACAAAAAACAAAAACTAATTTTTTTAGTTGAAGAGTCAATGCAACAACCACCACAAACTAATGCTCGCATCGCCACAGAACAAGACATAAAGCAGTCCCTCGATTGTATCGACGAGCAACAACTCCTCGAAGTAATCCAAGAGGTCAAAAAGCTCATTCAGACTGATAAAGAAAAGGCAAAACAGATATTATCGGAAAATCCAGCACTTTCTTACGGGTTATTAGAGGCTCTCCACACCATGCAGATGATCGACAAACAGACTTTTAACGCTTTAACCTCTCAGTGATTGCTTTTTTGTTTATTTGTTTTAATAATATAAATATAGTTTTTTATATTATAAGTATGGTATTCATTTTAATAACAAAATTATAGTTTGTTATATTATAAGTATGGTATCCACTGTAATCATAATAATCAATCCAATTCAGTTTCCTTGGCAAATTCAATAACCAAGTGTCTCCCATATAAATGGCTGTTTGCCATTGCAGCTTTCGCATTCGCAGCCTCTTGTTTTGTCGCATATTCAATGAAGGCATACCCTTTCAGTTGCCCATCGATCTTCTTTGGTACTCTCACGCCACGAAGTGTTCCATAGACCCTGAATAACTCTCTGACTTCGTTCAAATTGGTTTCAAACGGCAAGTTCTTCACCAACAACTTTGTACTGGCTGTCACATCTTCAGCTTTCTTTCTCTTGGCGTGGGTAAAATCGTCTTTCTTAGGAATAGACAACTCGATTGCAATTGCATTACCATCGACAAGTTGGCCTTGAGCATTTTTCATCGCGTTGAGTGCACTACTGTGTCTCGCAAACTCCAAGAAACAGAACACATTCTTCGAAGACGTGGGATTCTTGGAAATACTGACTGAATGAATTTGTCCATATTGAGTAAACACCTTCCTGAGGGTGTCTTCCGTTGTTTTTGGATTCACATTCTTGATATAAAGTGTATGTGTACCTTCTTCAACAAGTTCAAGCTCGCCGCCTTCTTTCGGACTCTCTTTCTTCTCAACTTTCTTTGGAACTTCTTCTTCAGTTGATTTGGCTTCTTCGTTGAATAGTCTCTCAGGCGCCCACTCCAAGTAAAGAGGAACTCCTTTATATCTTGAATATACAATTCTTTTAAAAGCAGTTTTGGCATCATTGGGTTGTATAAATTCAGCAATAGCAAGTGCCTTTGATTTCGGCATCAAAAAGCGCTTCAGTTTCCCGCAGTTCTCAAACATCGTTTTGATTTCTCCTTGGTCTGCATTTGCTGCTATGTTCTTTACAATGATCGCAGTGTTCCCACGTTTCTCATTCAACCCATTTTCAAGTACAGTACAGTTGACACCACGATCCCCTAAGTACTTCTTCGTCTCATTGATTACAAAAGTTTCTGCTAGAGCGGCTCTAACAGCAAGGTTGCTACTATTGACGTCAAGAAACTTCTCTTTAGCCATCCCAAGTTGTTCCGCCACAGCAGTGATAGCGGTGTCTGGTCTCATGTACAATGTCGCCCAATTGAACTGATTACTTGCACGCTTTTTGAGCTCGTTCGCCTTTTTGTCCTTGTACGTCTTTGCTTCTTTTTCTTCCGTTGTTTGTGCGTATGGGTCGGCCTTCGCATAATTCACATGTATAATACGACCTTTTATCACTTGTCCATCCATCTCGTTGAATGCCTTAACAGCATCTTGTGGTACAACATACATCACAAACGCAAACCCTTTTGTTTTCCCCGAGACTTTATCAATGGGGAGGTGGACCTCTGTGATTTCGCCAAATTTCTCAAAGGCCTCTCGAACGTCTTGTTCCGAGCAAGCGTATGGTAAGTTGTTCACCAGAATTCGTCCTTCTTCCCAATTTTCATTCTCTGGAACTTGTATTTCATCTTCTTCACTTTGAACTTCTGCTTTCTTTTCTTTTTGGTTATCTTCTTCACCTTCGTCCTTTCTTTCTTCTTCAGAACTTTGACTTGTTGTTTCTTCTTCCATTTTCACTGGTTCGGTCTTCTTCGTTTCTTTATTTTCATCGTCAACAGTGTCTCTTGCTTTCTTCTTTTTCACTTCGATTTGTGGAGCGCGTTCGCAAAGTTTCTTCAAAGCTTCGAGACTTTTTGATGGTTTCTTTGGCTGTTCTTCGACTTTTTTCTTTTCTTTCTTCTTGGGTTGTTCAGTGGTTGTTGCTTTGTCATGCGCGGAAGACCCTGCACTATACTTGGACCACGGTCTTTCAATCGATTTGTCTCCAATTTTTTTTGCGATGGAGACATTGATTTTCGACGAGAGAATATAAGCGTTGTTCATTTTTTCAATAGCGTTCTGTGCTTCGCTTTCCGTTGAAAACCCTAAAAACGCAAACTCTCTCGAAACGCCTTCTTTTGTTCTGACAAGTTTGCAGTCCGTGATATTTCCAAAACTTTGAAATGCTTCTTTGATAGTTTTTTCTGTTGCTACGTGTGGCAGTCCTTTCACAATAATTCTACTCATCAAACTGTGTTTTGAGTTTTTTAATTATTCATCAGGGTTTTTCTATAAAAACTTTTCGAGTACCAAAAATCCAAATCAAAGACTTCGTCATCGTCTTTTATTTATTGATTTTATTAGCATCAACTATTTATAAAAATTAGTTTGGTATAGTAAATAAAAGTATTAAAAAAATGGTAGAGAAGTGTGTTTTACTAATGTGTTCTACTAAAGAAATGAGAAAGAAACCAACACCAACTCATTTAAATATTCGAAGGATAAAGGAAGACTTTAACGTTTTCTCCGATAGCTTTTGGTGGGAGGTTGTGAGCAAATCTAGCTCTCACTGCACCAGCGCATCCGTGAGCAGCGACGACTGTACCGTAGATAGCTCTAACAGCTGGCTTCTTGCTTCCCTTCTTAACTGCGACTTTGTAGATGTAAGCACAGCGCTTTCCGAGGTAGAACGCAGTATCTTCTTTCATGTTCACACCGTCGATGTGGAGGATAGCAACATTCGGGTAAATGTTTCTCTGTCCTCTTCTGTAACCCGCAAACACAGCGTTGGTGTACAATCTTGGTACTTGCATCGTCACAACAAATTTCAGTTACCCTTTTCCTAGTTTCCTTCTTTTATTAAACACAATAGTTCTTTTATTATTCAAAAAAACTAGGTTTTCTTTGTGAAAAAACCCAACAAAAATGTTTTTCTTTTCTGTTTTTCTCGATAACAAAAACTCAAAAAAACAACTTTTTTATTTTCATGTTCTCTGTCATTTTGACTGACAACTTCGGCGATAAAAGACAACGGTCGTTTGCCCTCGACAAAGCTACTAAAGGAATTGTCGTCGGCAGACATAAATCGTGCGACATCATTTTAAATTCGATGATGGTCAGCAACTTCCATTGCAAAATACAAATCAAAGACAACAATATGGAGAAGATCATCGTCACAGATACTTCGTCGAATGGAACTCAGTTCAATGGAGCGGACATTGGAAAGAACAACAAAGTCGAAATTACCATCGACGACAAAATTGTGATAAACATGTCGACTAGTTTGTACTTGTTTTGTTCTCAAATCGAAGTGTGATATTTACAAACAGATGACTGTTACTTCATTGTGTTTTCTAAAGAGCCGGTTGTCTCTTTGAGTGACATAATCGTCAAAGACCTTGACCCGATGTGTTATAAGAAGTTCTGTTTCCTAGTGAGGTTGGGCGAGTTTGTTTATTAATTCTATATATAGGATCTTTCCTCACAGCATATTATTTTTTTTTAGAATATCGAGTTCGGCATTTGAGTAGTACAAGACTGACAAGTAGTGGCCAATACAGTCGTGTGTACAAGGCGATGGATCAAGAGACTAAGGAAGTGATTGCTCTGAAAGTCTTATATCAAACACGAGTTAATTTTTCACTTGATATTATTGCTAAAAGAGAACTGGACATTTGGAAGAATTTACAACACGAAAACATTGTGAAGTTTCTTGGAGTGTACGAGTCTGAAAACAACACGATATTTCAAATAGAATACTGTGAAGGTGGGGACTTGTTCACTCGGATTACTACTTCTGGTAAAATGGATGAACATGAATCCGCCTTTGTTTTTATGCAATTGGTCAGAGGTATTCACTACCTTCACTCTCATAACGTCATCCACAGAGACTTGAAACCAGAGAACATTTTGTTGAAAGAAAACCGCCCATACCCTATCATCAAAATCGCAGACTTCGGAATGGCACGAAATGAACTCTTTGGAACAACTGCGTGCGGGACTGTCCACTATGCAGCACCTGAAGTCATTTTACCAAAGAAAGGAGGCTTGAGATATTCAAAGGAGTGTGACGTGTGGGCAATTGGTATCATTTTATACATCATCCTCTCTGGAACGCACCCGTTCTCAATGGATAACGAAAACTTATTGTATAAGCAAATCGAGAAAGCCGATTTTAACTTTGAAAATCACTGGAGCAACGTCTCGCAAACACCAAAGGATCTTATTAAGAAAATGATAGTTTTTGATCCATCGGAGAGAGCCACAACAGAAGAACTCCTTAATTCGGAGTGGATTGAAAGGAACTCGGTGTTCTTCCCAGTTTGTTTACTTATTTTGTGTTGGAATTTAACTTATTTTCACATCCATTTGACGAATTGGTATATATAATTTGGTATAAACATGAAGCAACTCACTAAACAAAAGGATTACAGAAAAAGAGCAGAAAAGGAAACGTCTGTGCAGACTAAAAAGAAAACGGAGGTTAAACTGACCGACATACCGGAGGAGCTGATTGATGAATGTTTGGAAGAACATGAACAAATTGAGCAAATCAAAGAAGTGAAAGGAGAGGATAAAAAGCAAGAGCAAGCAAAAGAAGAGAAGGCTGAAGAGAAACAAGAAAACAAAGAAAATAATTGAATTTTTGTAAAATCAACAAAAAATGGTGTTTGGTGTGATACAAATATAACACAACAAATAAATTATTCAGTTCTAACTGGCTCCTGTCTGGTGTGTGGGGTGAACTGAGATGGTGACTTGTTGAGGACCATCAAGGGGTCTTCCTTCCCCTTCATCATCTCGTCAACAGCCTCGTCGAGGTTTTCAAAGTTCTCTCCTCTCATCTTAGTGAAAATAAGCTTGACCATTTCTCTGTCTTCCATTTTGACTGCAATCTCGATTGGGATAAGCAAACGGAGGTTTTTCTGTGTTGTTCTGCAATTGTGGTCGAGCAATACCTTTGCAACGTTGTGAGAATTGTGTAAACAACAAACATGGAGGCTTGAGTTGTAATTAAAGTCGACTGAATCAACGTTCACGTCGTGTTTCAAAATTTCCTCTGCCATGATGGCTCTTCCATAAATTGCGCAGTAATGGAGTAACGACTGGCCTTGAAGGTCAGTCAGTCCGTAGTTGAAGTCCTTGATCTTCATGATTTCTTCGCAAATGTCATTGAAGCCAAGTTTAATTGCGACCATCAAAATGTTTTCACCATTATGATTCACTCTGTTTGGCGATATCCCCATCCCGAGAAGCATGTTCAGCATTCCAATCTGTCTTCCAAACACAGCGGCGTGCAATACCGAATTTCCTTCGTCGTCGGACCCGTGGAAATCAACTTTCTTCTCAAACAAATCGACAACTTTATTCATGTCGCCTTCATAAATTGCTCTGAAGAGTGTCTCTTGGTCGGTCTCAAAAAGCATGTATGCGTACTTTGCAACAGTCCCAAGAACTGTGTAACGAGCTCGTGGTGTTGTGACATCGCATGGTTTATCATCGCACACAGTTTTGTTCTCGGCATTTGTTTTGTTTTCCATCACTTACTTTGTTTTCTCTGTTCTTTTTCTGTGCTTAAATCCTCTCTCTTTCCGTAGTCATTCGTTTGACAACAAATATGACAACTCAGATCAAGTCAATCGATTTGTTGATTTTTTAATGCATTGTAAATGTATTATAAATTATAATAATTTTAATATATAATTATAATACATAAAAGTTGATTGAGATTAAAAAAAAGAAAAATAAAAATAAAATTAAAGTGGATGAAACCAATTTTATAACCTCATATTTTGAAAAAAAAATATTATATTATATAATAATTTTACTTATAACGTATAGTATACAAAAAAATCTTTTGTAATAATATTAAATCTTACCATCTATTGTCAGCTCTTCAGTTGGACTTTTCCACAGCAGAGGCCATTAGTGATGACCTCTCAGCAAAGCATAAACTTTCTCGTTCGACCAAGTGGCTAGTTTCGTCGCTTATTTGTGTTGGTTTGTCTTTAGTGATCAAAAACAGATAATTGCCAATCTGAATTACACTGTCCACACTAAATTCAAAATAGGCGAACGGTGGAACTGGCACACTGTTGACAAGGACAGACTCTTGAGGCCCGTAGTTAAATATTTTGCCTTTATCATCGCTTATTTCGTTAAAAATCAGGTCGCATTGATGGACCATCATGTTTGAAAGTTTGATATCTGTGAACTCGGTCCCAATTGATGTGGTGGTCCGGACTATGGGTGTACTTGTTTTTGTAACCTTTCCGTCTTGTATTTTTGCCAAGTACAATGACATCTTTCTTTCGAGTTTTCTCTTTTCCTCAAACACTTTTTCTTTCCACTAAAGAAATTGATTAACTATAAATTAATAATAAAAACAAACTATATGTATTATCGCGATTTTTTTCTTTTTTATTATAATTTGTTTATTTTTTAATTCTT